TGCATGGCACCCTGCACTGCACCCTGCAGCATGCCCTGCATTGCACCCTGCATTGCACCCTGCATTGCACCCTGCAGCATGCCCTGCATTGCACCTTGCAACATGCCCTGCATTGCACTTTGCATTGCACCCTGCATTGCACCCTTCAGCATGCCCTGCGTTGCACCCTGCGTTGCACCCTGCATGGCACCCTGCATGGCACCCTGCATTGCACCCTGCAGCATGCCCTGCATTGTACCCTGCATTGCACCCTGCATTGCACCCTGCATTGCACGCCCTGCATTGCACCCTGCATTGCACCTTGCAACATGCCCTGCATTGCACCCTGCATTGCACCCTGCATTGCACCCTGCAGCATGCCCTGCATTGCGCCCTGCATTGCACCCTTCAGCATGCCCTGCATTGCACCCTGCATTGCACCCCGGTTTGCATCCCCATGGCACCTTGTATTGCACCCTGCAGCATGCCCTGCATTGCACCTTGCAGCATGCCCTACATTGCACCTTGTATTGCACCCTGCATTGCACCTTTCATTGCATCCCAGGTTGCATCCCATGTGGCACCTTGCATTGCGCTCTGCATTGCACCTTGGTTTGCATTCTGCTTCACATCTGCATGGCACCCTAAGTTGCACTCTGCATTGCACCCTGTATGGCATCTCAGTTTGCATCCTGCATTGCACCCGGCGTTGCATCTCGGTTTGCATCCTGCATTGCATCTTGGTTTGCACTCTGCATTGCACTCTGCATTGCACCCTGTTTTGCACCCTGCATGGCACCCTAAATTGCGCTCCGCATTGCACCCTGTGTTGCACCTTGCTTTGCACCCTGCTTTGTATCCAGCATTGCACCCAGCTTGGTATTGCTGGGGTGGCACAAAGCCTTGCATTGCACCCTGCATGGATCCTGCATCGCGCTGCAGGGGCTGCTTGGCACCCTGCATAGCTCCTTGCATGGTACTTTGCATTGCACCTTGCTTGGCGCTGCTGGGGCTGCGTCATGCCCTGCGTTGCAACCTGCATGGCACCCTGCTCTGCACCCTGTGTGGTACTGCAAGGGTGGCACAGCACCCTACACTGGATCCTGCAGAGCACCCTGCATTGCACCTAGCATGGTACCCTGCAATGCACCCTGAATAGCACCCAGCCTTGCACCTTGTATGACACTGCTGCGGTTGCATGGCACCCTATGCTGCACCCTGCATGGCACTGCTGGGGCTGCATGATGCCCTGCATTGCACCCTACTTTGCACCCAGCATTGCACTCTACATCACACCTTGCGCTGCACCCTGCACCACAGCCTACAATGCACCCTGCACTGCACCCTGAATCACACTTTGTGTGGCACCCTGCATTGCACCCTGCTCTGCACCAGCATTGTGCTCTGCATTACACCCTGTATCACATGTTGCGCTGCATCCTGCATCACACTTTGCGTGGCACCTTGCATTGCACCCTGCGTTGCGTCCTGCATCATAGCCTGCACTGCACTGCACGCTGAATCACACCTTGCATTGCACCTTGCATTACTTTGTGCATTGCACCCTGATCACCCTGTGCATTGCACCCTGCATCACCCCCTGCATCACCCCGTGCATTGCACCTTGCATTGCACCCCGCATTGCACCCTGCATTACCCCGTGCATTGCACACTGCATCATACCTTGCATTGCACCCCGCATTGCACCCTGCATCACCCCATGCATTGCACCCTGCGCATTGCACCCTGCACCACCCCGTGCATTGCACCCCGCATTGCACCCTGCATCACCCCATGCATTGCACCCTGTATGACCCTGTGCATTGCACCCTGTGCATTGCACCCTGCACCACCCCGTGCATTGCACCATGCATTGCATCCTGCATCACCCTGTGCATTGCACCCTGCACCACCCCGTGCATTGCATCCTGCGTCACCCTGTGCATTGCACCGTGCATCACCCCCTGCATTGCACCCTGCGCATTGCACCCTGCACCACCCCGTGCATTGCACCGTGCATTGCATCCTGCGTCACCCTGCGCATTGCACCGTGCATCACCCCCTGCACTGCACCCTGCGCATTGCACCCTGCACCACCCCATGCACCGCACCCTGCACTAACCCACCCCCGTGCACCCAGTCCCGCCGCCGACCTGCTCCATCCGAAGAAGGGCGGCACGGAGACGCCGACGCCGATGACCCAGGTGGCGGCCACCACGACGAGCGCGTGCTTGGCGTTGAAGCGGAAGTTGCCGAAGGGCTTGCAGATGACGATGTAGCGCTCGAAGGCGAGGAAGGCCAGCGACCAGCCCGTCACCAGCCCTGCGGAGGGGACAGCGCGGTGGCCCCGGCGCCCGCCACCCACCCACCCACCCACCCACGCCACCTACCCGCCGTGGAGCCCATGAAGCCCTCGAGGGCGCAGAGGTGCCGCCCGAAGATGAAGTAGCCCTGCGAGCTGGAGATGAACACCATGAAGACGCAGAAGACGCAGAAGATGAAGCCGCCCAGGCTGATGTTCACCAGGATGTAGTTGAGCGGCTGCCGCAGCTTCTTGTACTTGACGGTGACCACGAGCACCACGGCGTTGAGCGGCGTGCCCACGAAGAACACGAAGCCCATGAAGGCCGTCTGCAGGTAGAAGGCCCAGGGCGGCGCGATGTGGTACTGGGGGCCGTCCCAGGGCCCCACCGAGGACACGTTCTCGAAGAGGTAGAAGTCCTCGTCGCCCGACATGGTGGCGCCCGCCGCCCGCCCGCCCGCGCCCCACTTCATATAGGGCCGGCCGCCCCCCAAGCCGCTTAGCGGGGATCAGGCTTCATCCGGGGCAAACGCGGGGATTAGGGGCGCTAAGACCCTTCCTCCTGCCCCTAAGCCCCGCTCAGGGCCTAATCGCCGGCCTAAGCCGATTGCCGGGGATTGGGGCGCGCGGGCCTTGGGGACGCTGCGGTGGCACCGCCGCGTCCCATCCAAATGGGAAAAGGGGGGCTCGTCCGGGATTTGAACCCGGGACCTCTCGCACCCTAAGCGAGAGTCATACCCCTAGACCAACGAGCCGGTTGGGGGGCCCCTGCATGGCCCCCCCCCACGGACGTGGTCACCCCACAGAGGGGCACCCCGGGGTGCAAGGGGACCCTGCGCTGCCCCATTGGGGTGCTCAGTGGTGCAGCCCAGCTAAAGGGGGGGTTGGAAGCGGGTGCAGGGGGGAGCGTTTGGGAAGGGGGGCCCTGCTGGGGTGCAATGCTGGGGTGCATTGCTGAGGGTGCTTGCAAGTGGGTGCAGTGCTGGGTGCATTGCTGGCGAGGGTGCAGTGCTGGGGTGATTGCAAATGGGTGCAATGTTGGGTGCATTGCTAGGGTGCATTGCTGGGTGGGGACATTGATGGGGTGCATTACTGGGGTGATCGCAAATGGGTGCAACGCTGAGCGCGTTTCTAGGGTGCATTGCTGGCGAGGGTGCAGTTCTGGCGGTGCATTACTGGGGTGATTGCAAGTGGGTGCAATGTTGGGTGCATTGCTGGGTGCATTGCTGGCTAGGGACATTGATGGGGGTGCATTGCTGGGGTGATTGCAAATGGGTGCAATGCTGGGTGCCTTGCTAGGGAGCATTGCTGGGTGGGGATATTGCTGGGGGGTGCAGTGCAGGGGGTGCATTACTGGGGTGATTGCAAACGGGTGCGATGTTGGGTGCATTGCTAGGGTGCATTGCTGGGTGGGGACGTTGCTGGGAGTGCATTACTGGGGTGATTGCAAATGGGTGCATTGCTGGGTGGGGTCGTTCCTGGCTGGGGACATTGCTGGGGTGATTGCAAATGGGTGCAATGCTGGGTGCATTGCTGGGTGCATTGCTGGCTGGGGACATTGATAGGGGTGCATTACAGGGGCGATTACAAATGGGTGCAATGTTGGGGGCATCGCTGGGGTGCATTGCTGGATAGGGACATTGCTTGGGGGGTGCAATGCTGCGGGTGCATTGCTGAGGGTGCTTGCAAGTGGGTGCAATGCTGGGTGCATTGCTGGGTGGAGATATTGATGGGGGTGCATTACTGGGGTGAATGCAAATGGGTGCAATGTTGGGGGCATTGCTAGGGTGCATTGCCGACAAGGGTGCAGTTCTGGGGGTGCATTGCTGAAGGTGATTGCAAATGGGTGCAATGCTGGGTGCATTGCTAGGGTGCATTGCTGGGTGGGGACGTTGCAGAGGGATGCAATGCTGGGGGGCATTTCTGAGTGCTGCAATGCTGGGTGCATTGCTGGAGGCTGTTTGCAGAGGAGTGCAATGCTGGTGGGTGGTTGCAGAGGGTGCAATGCTGCATGCATTGCTGGGGGTGCTGCTGGGGGGCATATTGTGCAGACACATTGCTGGGGGGGTCTGATTGGGGGTTTGATTGGGGGTTGTTACAGGGAGGTGCATTTGTGGGTGCACTGCTGGGGGTGCAAAGTTGGGGGGTGCATTTCTGGGTGCCTTGCTAGGGGCATTAGCAGGGATTGCACCGCCGGGGAGTGACTGCACATGGGTGCTTTGCCAGGGGTGGGGTGTGTGCATCCATGGGGGGTGATTGCAGACATGTGCAGCGCTGGGGGCATTGCTGCAGCGGCTTTGCTGTGCAGTGACTGCAGAGGAGAGCACTGCCAGCTGCGTTGCCGAGGTGCACTGCAGGGGAGTGACTGCACCGGGATGCAATGCTGCATGCATTGGAGGTGTGTGTTTCGGCGGGTGTGTGCTGTTTTCAGGGGGATGCATTGCTGGGGGAGTTGTTTGCAGGGGTGCATTGCTCGGGGGGTGCCTTGCAAGGAATGCATTGCTTGGGGGGGATGCCTTGCAGGGGATGCATTGCTTGGGGGGTGTCTTCAAGGGACACATTGCTCAGGGGGTGCCTTGCAGGGGATTCATTGCTCGGGGAGTGCATTGCAGGGGATGCATTGCTCGGGGGTGCATTGCAGGGGATGCATTGCTCAGGGGGATGCCTTGCAG